TTGTTTGGGGCTTTATAAACTGACACCATATTAAGTTATTTAAGCCCAGTAAAATTTAATGGGAGTTATTCTTGTTCTTGCAACAGCGTTTCCTGCAGAAGATACTTCCAGAACTGTGGTGAAGTCATCGTCTAATGTCTCCCTTGTGACTCCCAGCTATGTAATGGGATAGTTTTTTCCTTCTCTTCCAACGTTTATTATTGACATAAAAGCATCTTTACATGATAAAACCAAAGCAGCTGCCCCGTGTCCCTTGGGAATGTCCCCTCGTTAGGGAGGATTTTAGCCCCCTCCCAATAGTTTATTTAGTATGCTGAAAACCAATCCCATTTGAAAGTAAGTTACTTTCTACTCACATACTTATTGTTTTCTAAAGCACTGTCCCTCCTGGGAGAAAGTGAAAGGCAATATAAAACCCTTCTGGGACAGCCCTGAGTCAATAAAATAGCCTGGGACGAGTTCTGCACTTTAAGCTTTTGAGTGAAGAAAAATGGAAGTGTAGGAACAAACCATGAAACTGTTTTCAGGGTACTGATAAGATCTATACCCTCTATCCAAAGAATTAAAAATATTATTTGTTCTACATTGCTTATGATGAAGACCTTTTTAGAATATTAACTATTGTGTTATATATTGCATATATTATGATTTTGCCTGTTATGGTGTTCATATCTCTCTCCATTTAATTTTCAAAGGTTTTGGTAAGGGTTTTTTCTTTAAACTATAGCAATTATCTGGCTGTCATATTTGGTATAATCTATACCCCAGCTGGGTGCTACCCATCAATGACTACAACCAGAGACTGCATCAGGAGGAACACTAGATCCAAACAACCTTCTGTATCTCTCTCAGAAAACAAGCATAAAAAATTATTCGTACATGAGAATGCTCTGCCTATCGGAGTTTAGCTAATTCCAAATGTTAGGGAGTCAATAAGCTGTACCCTAGAAGATATAAAATCGTGTAAAAGACAACATGGGTTAGATTTTCCCGTGGAAGTAGTTCCATGATTACATTTTCTCGGCTGGAAGGCTGCCTTTCATTAAGTGGCCTGTCTTGAGTACTGGAGCCTTCCGTTCCTTTCTCTTCTGTGTCATTATCTCACTGCATTTATACCTCATTTCAAAACACAACAGTCACTGAAAAAAACTTTTTCATCTGCTTTTTTCCACCTTTAAATGAAAGTAACTACACTGCTTCTTTTGCTCTTTTACTTACTTTTAAAATTCCTGAAAACTCATTGCCTTCTTTTTTTCTGTCTTCACCACCATCAGATTTGTTTTCTGCTTTTTTTAGGTGGGAGAGCTGTTGTCCTATGGTATTCCTGCTACATGTTTAATGGTTTAGTTCCTCAGTTGTTACATGCATGCACAAGGGAGCATCAGCAGTAAAATGGTAAAATGCTTTTACTAATCTAAATAACAAGATTTCAGATAATTTTTTTCTGGTGAACAATGCTAAGTACGTTTATTGTAATTGAGGTAAACAGAAAAAAACCCCAACCATGAATGTTGTCTTCTAAGACATGTCAAAGGGACATGCTTATTGCTAAAAACAGGGAAATAACAAATTGCAAACATTTCACCCAAACTGTGGAGTTGGCAACTATAAAAAACCACTACCATATTTAAATAATTTCAAAAGCAAGGCCTGAATGCTGAAAATAGGTTACCTTCCTTTTCTTAATGCTTGCACATTGAACAGATTTAAAGTGCTACAAGGAAAATGTATTAATTCCAAGATGACACAAACTTTCACTATAATTAAACAAGGTTACAGAAATTAGTATTTCTCCTTTGTAGCATCTTGGTTTTAACAGTTTGACAATGACTCTTTCAGCAGACTCTAGGCCATAATATCACAACCACTGCAAACCGCCTCCCTTAGAACTTAGGAGGAAGCACCAAAGAACTTCTTAGATATCAAACTGAATTTGAAGTCTAAAATTTCCATGGGCAGCCCTATGCTCCTTTGTTAACAGTCCTTAAAAAATAACAACCACCCAGCACATAATTAAATATATTTTCCGTTTTCAGTTAAGGCAAATCAGTCCCACCCAAAATTACTGGTTTCTTCGTGCTGCAGTAAATTAATGACTATTAATGGTGCAATGGGAGCTACAAAGAGATTGTTACTTCCTTGAGGTCAGTTCTGAATGCAGCTCAAAACAATCTGGGTTCATTTTGCATTGTTCTCAAAACGGACGCATTGAAGGGAAAATCATAAACGCTGGGTCCTGATATGTGTAGATAATTATTCATGTGGCCTGTGCACAAAAAAAGGAAAGTGTGACGTGAGAGGCTCAACAGAATCGCTGTTTTCACTCTGTTTACCACGAGGAAGAGACGGCTGGTGAATAATACAGCTCATATCTCTTAGTTACCAGGAAAAGGTGTCAGAACAGGAGAAGGATTTAAGTCCAGCAACTTCATGAACACAGGAACAAGCTGGCACACACAGGGATGAAGGGTGGGCAGAAAATGGATGTACTAAAACTTAATAACCTGTTGGATATTGGAAGCAGCAGGAACTGGCGTAGGTGGGAGTCTGGCAGACAAGATGTACCTGTGAGATACAAAGGCAGGGTCAGGAGGAAAAGCTGCCCATCAGCTTTGGATGCTGATGGATGCGATGGCTCAGATAGGGAAGGTGAGGGGCGAGTGTTGGGCACGGGAGAGGCTGCCAGGGAACCAGGGAATGCCATTTGCATGTGTTGGGGTGCAAACAGTGAACACATTTTCTTT